TAGCCTTGCGATAACATCATATCCTATACGCGATGTTAGCGAAAGACGTAGAGCTTAAAAGATATATGTATGTTGTCAACTCTGCTGTCCACCAGAAGAACAACTCATGGTGAGGCTAGAAAGGTATTGTTCTTCGAGGAGCGAATCATATTGTTCGTGCTGGACGTTTGTTTCGGTGGCTGAAGTATAATCATGCCTTGTAGGAAGATGGACATCGTCCAAACCTTGATTGGACATGCCACAGTACGGATATTCTAATGCGTGGAAAGGTGCTTCGCCAACGAATTTGTTCCAAGTGGATGGTGCATCTCCACCAACATTTAGCTGGGATAGATCTACGATAGCAATTCGGATTTCATTTCATCCTGAATTTGCCGGAGATAACTAACAGTTAAGTCATAGTTGTGAGCGCATATTGACCTCAAAGAGAACAACACGAAACATCGGGCGCTAATCTCAACAGTTGGGTTTAGTTTCAACTAGAGCGAGACACGCACTTTTGACATCCTGTTCAATATTGAAATGTTCACGGTCAAAAAGGGAGGGAAAAAGGGAGGAAAATGAGAAGAGAAGAAAAGAAAAGAAAAGAAAAAGAAAAAGAAGACGAGGAAGAAGTTTGTAGTTAGATCAAGCGGAATAGTCTTCTCGCCTCCTAGATTGTTGCAGCATCTAATTGGCTCTGTGCTGCGGCCCTACCGTTAAACCGCTTATTATTTCAAGTTTGAATTATGGTCTATGATTAGACAAAGCATTCTTAGAGGCCAGATAACGAATGCCATGTGCCCACCGCATAGCCCTGCAGGTTAGGGGTTTCATTTGTGGCATACATCTTGCCAAAACTCGGCCCGTCAATGCCGTCGGACAATGTCAAAGTTGGAATGCTTACACCACTTGTTTTCAGCAAGTCCCATGTATCAAAATCCACCAAATCTCAGCCCCCATGCATGAAGGGAGGTATTACTGTGACCCTGCAGATTGAAAGCAGCCTGTTAAAATTCGAGAAGAAAGGACAGGATGTTATTTTAGCGCCACAAAATTTATCCAGGTTTGGTGGGGAGATGAGAGAACTCAAGAGGAACAATGGTTGACTTTCGTTCGTTGCCACTCATATCATCCGTGTAACGTCTGTTTGTCAAGTAGTTCGTCAAGGGCGTTTCCAAGACTCCTAGGCACGGGTATGAGCAGAAGTGCTAAGAGTGTTCGTCCCCTGGTTATGTTGGCAATCATTTCAAATTCGAACTCTATTTCCGTGAGGAAATAAATAGTTACATGATTGCTTGTTGACGGAGTCATTAGTCAAGTGACGCGATCGTTTCGATTACAACAATGAACGACCTACCATGATGATTGGTATACGGATCTAACCATCAACCAACCACCACATCATGTGCAAAACTCAAAAAAAGGCATGCCCTCTCCCACGCCGCATCAGTTATCCGCTCACCAAACAAATTAGTCAAAAACCGGCCCCAGACTAACCAAACTAAACCTTAGGTCGCCCTCGGCCTCTATTTCCCTCTTCAAGAACTGCCAAGCACCAAGCTTTAGAGCATTCTCGCTCAAGACGTCCTCATCCTCATCCAACACCCCACGATCCAAAGGCCCCTTTCTCCGCCCATCCAACTCCCACAAATGCCCATCACTCCCCTTCACAAAGCATACAAAATGCAAATCGGTTTTGGTGTTCGCATCTGGTGCGGAAGTATCCCCTTTCTTCGCTGCATCAGCGTGAGCATTCTCCAACGCCTTGCTGGCATATAGTAAATCTGCCCTAGGTCCAGGCCTCAGTGGCTCCGCGTCCCGCAGCAACCTCTCTAGATCTGAGCCAGGGGTGATATGGTCCCTAGCAGGACCGTTGCTAACAGCGTGCAGGAGTCCGATCAGCCCGCAGGCATTTCGGATTGTTTGCTTGAACCAAGTTACGGGTTCGTTGGGGCCGGAGCCTCCATATGCGGGGATGTCTTTGTCTTCTGCTATGCGCCAGCTTTCGTATGCTGGAGTTACGGGGAAAACGAGGAGGATGGCGTGGGAGGGGCGGGGTACGAAGGCGATGACATCCGGGTCAATGATGCTGTAGACGTCAGTGAAGCCAATAGCATCTGAGACACCTAGTTGGTGGATGAGGTGCGACATAACTTCTGCATTGTTTTCTGCGGGATTGTTAATATATTTACTTGCTGCTAAAGGTAGCAGCATCACGCGGCTTCGGGTGTTTAAGGGGGTTAACAAGATGCTCACCGAGAGGAACAAAGGCCTTGGCTTTGGCGGGGACATCAGGACTGCCTGCCATAGTGAGATACTGGAGGTCACACAGAAAATATTACTGATTAAGGATATGTTCCCTCGCTTTGACAGGACACTGTTCAGTAATTTTAATAGTTGTTGTTATAAAGTTGGATATTTGATGTTGGAACGCGGTCATGCCTGCAAGCTTCTTTGCGGGGAACTTCCCAAGGTTTGACTCGGTTTGGCGCCTAATCTGCTTTAGGCTCTCTAGGGCTCAGCGTCGCATGTGATCAAGACACTTTTAACAGAAACATTGAACTAGATGGTCCTGCGGGCATTTACGGCTCTTTTATGATAAATAAAAGATGACTGCTTCGTTGCGTGGCATATCTGCCTGTTTAATTGGTGTAGTTAGACCCAATTAGATTAAAACCCCGAGAATGTATTTCGTCTTGTAAAACTCTTACTACTTCTAGTTATGATAAACATCCTCCTCCATTGAAACATGGTTCCCCGCAACTTTCATCCAGCTGTCTTAGGCTCTTCCCCTCTTTTCAAAGGCCCGAATACATTTGTCCATAATTCACTTTGCTCACCTATGAAATATGAGAGAGAAACGTCCGCCATACCAGCTTCAAGGCAGCCGTCCATAGTTTCTAACTGTGAGATCAGATTTTCGAGACCAAAAGCTTTGCCTGTAGATTGGGTAGTGCCTGCTTCTAGCATTATGTTGACTACATGGATATGGAGGTGGTAGTAAGTTGGTTGATCTAGACGGCAAAAAGTTAGTGAAGGCCTGTAGAAAGCAATATATGGAAAATCTGGTCAGTTCCGTATACATACAGTGGAGGTACAGCTTTAACTGGTCTCTTTCAAGATCAGGATACACTTTCACAACCCCATCTAGCACCTGCTCTCTCATGCGGCTCAACCATGGAATATGTTTTTTCTTCAGGTCCCGCAGACTCCAAATATCACGTCTCTCAACCAAACAAAGAAGTCGCAAGGTCCCCAGAGTCTTACGATCCCAGTTCAGATCGGGCAAAAGTAAAAAACCCTCCTCGGAATCAGACACTCGAAGTATCACATCCTCCTGCTCCTTGCGCCCTTCTACGATATTATGCACCCAGTTCAACCTGCCGTTCTCTCGCTTACTCTGCATGTAGGGACGCACATAGCTTGCATATATTTCAGGTGTTTCCGTCACCATGCGCAAATTCTGAGCGGAGTATTTCAAGATATGCTGCTCCGTGCAAGGCCAGATGAGATTCAATTTCAAGTCTGGAGGCGAGACGTGATTTTGCCCGGTTGACGCCAGGTACCACCGATATATATCGTTGGCGCCCAGATTGGTCACGTTAGTTAGCGCCCCAAGGAATGCTCTTATGGAGTCTGGGTCCGAAAGAAAAGCAGCCCTTTCTGCGATTAGGATACCAGGAGTGTTATCGATAGAGCCAAGGATGGATATGCGACGGTCGTTTTGATCTGCGCGGTTTGGAAGGGATGGTCAGTGTGATAGTAAAGCATAGGTGGAGAAACATAGAAAGATATATCAGCCCGCAAATGATATCAACAGTTCATTTAAGCCTGGGGGAATGAAGTCGAGAGAGTGCCAACCTTGATTGAGCAGTCTCTCGACTTTGAATTTCGGTATCAAACTCTCCGCCTCTTGTCCGTCAGCCATTGCGTTGGGAGACGTTGCATTCCGCCACAATTGCTTGTATTCAATTGGTAGGCTTCAGTGTCTGAAAGGACTTCCAAGGCTATATTTCGCTGCTGAGCGCGATGAAAAATTATATATTTCGTGTTTGCGGGGCAAAATGTAATAAGCCGAGACGTTCTTTTTACTTTTTACAGTTTCCAAGGTTTGACAGCAGCTGGACTAGTTAACTAGCACTGTCCGCGGATGACTAATTAATCACTACCTGCCTGCGTCACCTGTGTCGTTCTCCGATGAAAGCTCAGCAATTTTTGTTGTTATTTTCTTGCCGACAAATCCCAGTCTGACCGAGCCAGTGTCAGAACTGTCAGACCATTCCTGGCATGATCCGAAATCCTACGGGGCTTAGGATGCTATCATCCTGGCTTGGTTGGCAGAGGATCACTCGTAATTAATCCCCGCTTCTATGGAACCTGAACTTCCGCCCTGCTGGAAAGTGAATGTACTGCAACCGCCTTCGGGTTGATATTGGACCCGCCCGTCTGTTAAATGTGCTCTGATACAATGATATCCCCGTGGACCAATCATGATGGTCCCCTCGTGGATTATAATTAGACCATATCTTTGGAGCATGAACTCTCTGTGGTGCAACTCCTAAGGAGTCCGGTTTGAGAACCGTTCGCTCTAATTTCCCTCCTGATGGCTGTCGTTGGCATTCTCAGGGCGGTATGGCAACGATGTCTGTTTTTGTGATATTAATGTTCATTATTGCCGTTAATTTTGCTCCATTACTCTTGCGATTATTAATGGGTTTGATGGCACATATTGACGGCAAATTAGCTCTCTCATCCCCGCAAGACCACCTCCTTTCTCTTTAGCCTTGAAGGAGTTTGAGGCGCTGAAAATCATCCGCGCGCAAAAATCATACATCCACCGGGAAACTGCCATTAACTGCAATCATATTTTGCCCTTGATGTCCTTTCACATCGCCCGAAAACAGAAAAACACACCAGTCCGTGGATCACACATTACGACTCATTGTGACATATTTTCCTCTTGCAAATCCTCACTGTGACCTGCTGATTTGAGGATGTCATCTCCATTATCACCACCCCAACGCCAGCCAGCGTTGCCTACCACGTTCACTCCTCCGGGCTCCTGCTTATCAGACGTGTACCAATTTTTGACAACAGGAGTGGCAACAGTATCCGAGACTGAGTCGACTGATACGAGAACATTTTATGAACTTGGAGCCCGCTCTTCAGAGTGTTTTCCTCCCAGTGGATATCTGCCGTGGATAACTAATCAAGTCTCCTCGAGTGCCTATTACTCCCCCGGTGTGTGCCCTTCTGGGTATCTCATCTGTAGGAGCGACACAATTGCCGTTGGAACGTTGACAGAAACAAGGGCGACATGTTGTCCAAAGTAAGATGGCCTCTTTATTCTCATCCCAGACTATTTCGAGGTGTGTGGTTGCTGACTCTTTTCTTGCTTTGCGTAATATTCAGCGGCTACGCCTGCCAGAACCAGTCCAGTCTCTTGTGGTATCAGGACCATATGTGCACCTTGAGATCAGGAGATGGATCTCCCATGAGCTACACTGCAACTATAAGTGGAACAGTTACGACTCTGACCCAGACCAAACCCTGGGGCCTTAATGCATATGGTATTTCTATACGATGGATGAATACGGATCTTCCAACAGCTACAACAGCCCCTCCACCCAATCCAGCTCAACCTCCTGCTCAATCTTCTGGCTTGTCAAGCGGCGCAAAGGCGGGAATTGGAATCGGCGTAACTGTTACGGTACTCCTCCTCATCATCATAGGGTGGCTACTGCGTAACGCTCTTCAAAAGAGAAAGCAAAAGTCACAGAAGTCTGAAATTTCCGATTATGAAGCCGTCCCAATAAAAGCCATCCCACCGCCTCCAGAGCTGTTGGAACTCGATTCGGGACACCTGCACGAAATGGGTGCTTCCCAATAGCCTCTACTTTACCCCCTCTTGCGTCACCCGTTGTCGCTGTCGAGTAAAAATGTACAATAGTTATGACGTCTTGTCGATCATGTGAGAGACGAACGAGAGGCTTCATTTAACTCACCTTTTGTTGTTCTCCTCTATTTTACCCTTCTTTTCTTTTGATATATATTCTTCAGTTTCTTTTGAGGTTACCGGTTAATACTTGGAAAATTCGAGCGATCTAGTATGACGAGCGGCGCTATACACGCAAAATACCCATCCTGCTTCTTCCTCTTCTTGTTTCTTCGTAATCCTGTCGCAGAGCTTGGTGGAATGCGCGTGTCCACTACGTTTTTGACAATGTCTGCGAGAGATCCATCCAATGCACGTATACACAGTATATACTTTTATAATAATTAGATTTATACATAACTAGTCTGTTTTTCCTCTACGTCGTTTTCCGATATCTAGAGCGGAACACAGCAACTCTCACTGCATGGCAGATGCAGCATTGATTACCAACCACGCGAGGCTTCTGTGTGTGCCTTGCCCATAAGCTTATATATCCGTGCATTTCACCCATCAAGGTCCCAGAATATCTTCCAATGCAGATGCGACTTAAAAAACAGTCAACAAACAGGAAACCCAAACCACACCGACAATATAGAGCGAGGCATTTTCTCTGATGGCGACCTGATTCTGTGGATTCTATTCCGTAAACCATCGGGCGGCTACGCTTATTCATTTCACCCTCGGCAGCCGATTCCAGGAATTTTGGGTGAGGAGCCCAAAATGGCTGCTTTAAATTTATAAAATTGCTCGACTTGGCCCTCTCCTGGAGATAGCATATCGTGAACTAACGCCTACATGAAGAACAAGGGTTTTGATTTACCACAGAGGAACCTTCGGGTTTCAGTTTCCATGACCGTGTAGGTCGACTTCTGTCTGGCTGCAGCATCAAATCTCGCACTCCCACAACACAGATTGATTTGCAGTTCGATGCAGTTATTTGGTGACCGGAGTAGTTTGACTGGCAGTGACTAGTTAGTAACTAGAAATTATAAAGTCGTGCCATCAAAGCGTATCACTTCATATTTTTACAGTTCTTCAATCAGCTTCATCTTCTTCAGTCTTATCATTCAAGAGATACAGTGAAGGCATTGAAACTTCCAGCTTGGGGGGTGTAGATGGACTCAGTCTCCAATTGGGTAATATGTAGTTAACCACCTAGTTATCTGGGTGAGAGTCCAGAGTGAAAGAAGCAGATTTAACGAATTCAGATCCAGCAGGTCAATGGAATGTGGCCTCGACATCTTCCATTCTGCTCACTGGATTAGATTTATTTTATTCCTTCTCTGAACGTAGTCTTTTCATCGTTGTCGTATTCCTAAATTTATGCTTTTGGGGGCTTAGTTTGCTGGCGGGGGGGTAGTGAGACCGCCGTTGCTTTGCAGTATTTATTAATAGCCTTGGGCAAATCTCCACCAGGGCAGATACTCCACCTCTTAGCAGTATTGGGAGTTCCGGTTCTGAAGAAGTGATAAACGAATGTATTTGATATCGTTTCCCTATCTTTCAATTCTGATCACGTCTCCTTTCTTATCCCTCCTATCCTCTCCCCCCTCTCCCATTTACACAACTCTGATAAAAAAGAGATAGGGGAAGACGAGGAGATAGACAAAAGCATCGATATTCTTACATAGGAGAAAATTGGTATAGCGTGTAACCATTTTGTTACCGCATGAGAGTAAATTATAATAAGATCTTGAAAGGTAGTTAACGTATGTATATACAAATAGTAGCAGTAAGTAGCAGGAAGTATTAGGTCACCTTTGGCGAACAGCCGGGTACAGCGAAGCCGAATTTAGAAACAGAGTATTCTTGAAAAACTCTCAATAAGTCAGCCAGTTTCTGCTCATCGCAATCCTGAAGTCAACATATTCCCCCCCCCCCCCCCCCCCCCCCCACCTCCTAATTATTTGCTTCCTTTGACCTCCCTAAGTCAAGACACTTGGCGATATTGAAGAATATGTCGATGTTATTGTAGACGCCTAGATTTTGGAAAATATGTGTTAACATCCTAGTCAGATTGAGAAGTTTGCCTTTCCAACCACACTTCGCTCTATAGCCAAAAAAGCAAAGTGGGGAACAAAAAGGTCCAAAAGCAGATGATGGTGACATACCTCCAAACAACTCCTGACATGGCCCCATGGCAAATACAGGTACATCCGTCAAAGAATGCACACCCTGATCCTCTGAAACAGACAAAGTACCGTTAATCACAAACCCAGAAACGGCATCTTTATAATTAACATAGTAGTTATCTGATCCTTTCTCCAACTCCACAGCAGGTTTTCGGGGTCCATCCTTGTGCACCTGGTAGTTTTCCCTTCGATCCGGGTTCGCAGTCACACCCGCGAAAAGTGAATAACGAGGATCCCATTGCGCAGGGAAGTGGACACCCTCGCTATAATAAAACGACCTTTCTGTCTGTACGGTGTACTGAGACAGGCCCGACATATGGTACACACCAACAGCTTCGCGCTTTTCGCGGTCCGTCTTTTGGGCGTTAAGATATTTCGTGTCGACGGAGCCCATGACATCGAAGCCATGGCCGTGGTCAGCTGTGACGAGGATGAGAGTTTTTTCGAGCTGATTGAGAATGCGAAGCTTTTCAATAGTGGCACGCACGGTGTCGTCGAGCTCAAGCAATTCTCCAAGAGCGCGATCGTAGTCAAGAGAATGCATTTGCTTGTCAATGCTGGCGGCTTCGGACATGAGGAACCACCCGTCCTTGCAGCTGCGGTGGCTGAGGATATCGATGGCCTTAAGGGTCATTTCCTTGAGACCTGGTTGGTCCAGAGCATCCTTGTCGCTACCATCTGGATGGTTTTTCTGGTTCTTGAGGTTGTCTGGGTAGATATTTCGATCCAGCCATTTCGCCATGACACCGGTAGAGAATACACCTAATGCTTTGCGGTTGTTGGGGGCCTCAGCCAGCGCAGTGTTGTTCCAGCTAATGCTATACCCCTTTTCAGCAAAGAGATTATAGTAATTCTGGTTCTTGTGGGACTTCCTGGGGAGGAAGTTCTCAGCTCCGCCGCCAAACAGAACATCTGGACCATCCCATCCAGTCCAGGAGTAATTAGTCACCCCATGGTAGAAGGTATCAATCACATGCCCATATTGTCCCCGGTCCCGGGTATGCGAAGTCAGAGCAGCGGGTGTTGCATCAGCTAGGAAATAGTGAGTTTATTTATCACTGCCACTGGGAATAAAAAACACAACGAGTCGCAAAACAGACCTAAGAAAGCGGTAGAAACAATTCCAATGCCCGCATTGGGATAAACTCTATGGAATATTTCGGCAATGGTTTCGACTTTCGGATCATCAAAGACTGACTTCGACGAGTCCTTATATACACCTAGAGCATTGACGGTGGTTTTATGACCTGTGTAAAGAGAGGTGGCTGAATTGGCGGAATCGGTTATGAATGAATCCAAAGAATGGGTCATTTGATGGCCAAGCACAGGGAACTTGTCCAGTGCCATCTTGCTCTGATATTTACCGTTGACGGAACGATGAGCAATTAGACGGGCGGCCGTGATCATGTTAGTCGTCATGCCGTCACCAATAAATAAGATCACGTTTTTCGCTTTGCGGACTTCAGCCAGGTCTCTAACCAGCCACGTTCCTGTTGTCTTCTGGCCATCATAGTAGGTGAGGGTTACCTCGTACTCTCCAGGCTGATAAAGCGCAACACGTCGATAGGCCTTGGATGTGACTTTCACCAATGAAGGCTTTTTCTCGTCCCGTGCAAACAGATCTTTTCAATCATCGCATATATTAGAATGCATAAACTCCCAGCCTCAATTGCATTTCTTCAAGGGCAGTCAGCTAACCTTCGTACCAGGTGAAGTCCCATTTCTCAAGTTCAGGCTCCTTCACATTGAAGAAATCGGTTGCTTTCTGTGGTTTATTGTTGCGGCCCTTCTTGGTAATGGTGAAAGTAAAGTTGGGATCTGGCTCCCCATTTCGGGCTTCGGAACCATTGACAGGCGAATGGACCTCGAGACGAATATCAAAATATTGCCCAGCCAAGAAATCCGCCCTAGAAAATAAGTTAAATCCCGGGTTCTTATGCACCTTAACAAGTCTAGGTATTTTTTTTCGCCTGCGCGTACAATTATAATATAGAAAACAATGGCTCAACATACTGGTCTGGCGGGAAGATACAACCTAGCTTAGGACATCCTCCAAGCCGCTGGAAGGACTGAGCCAGACCCGCGGAAGCAAACAACGCAACACTAGCAAACCACGAAAACTTCATGGTTAAAGAGAACTGCGAGTGCTGCGATTCATGAATGAATGGACAGCTGGGAACGCCTGTTTAAGAAAAAGAGAAAAGGTGAAAAAGAAGAATTGGAAGAAAAGGTGCTGGGGTAGCTCCTTTTTTAAGTCTTTCTTCCATGGTTGTGATTGAGCCTTGAGGGTGACCTTGCGCTGTAGTTGTGTAACTGATGATCAACGACACCGAAAAACGAGCTGAAAAACAGCCAGTCGGCGGAAAACCAGATCGAGCTAATACCACGCTCTGAGAGCATCTTGGGCTGGCCCGGAATATTACCAACATAGGAACAGGAGAAGCATTGGAACAAGTGAATGGACATCCAAGGTCAGCTACACGTGCACTGTTAACATTCTAAGTAAAATGAACATCAGCTTTAGTGTAGATACATTGGTTGCAGGGGAAATTGGGGGTTGTGTTTTAGGTTGAACGGTTTCGCGATACGGTTCGCGATACCCGTCGCCCGGCGGTAGTAACCAACAACTAAAAACGAACCTTAACTATCGGCGCCGGAATACGCAAGTTTAATTGCTCGTCACGTTACTCTGCGTCCCTTATCATGTACTAACAGGTATTCACTAATACACAACCGCTAACGGCGGTTATCTTCAACTTTGGGAGCAGTGACTGGTGAGGTACTGCTGGCTGTTGATGTATCTTGGGCAGGGTGTCATTGCTATTTCTCGGCCCCTGCTCGGTGTAAATAAGGTTATCTGGGTTTGGAGCACACGTGCAGCGGATGCTACTTTGTTGTTCGTGGTTTGAGCTCAAGCTTGCTGGGTCAAGCCTGCTGGGTCTCCCCGACACTTTTAGTGGTCAGTGCCATGGATTTAGGTGCTCCGCCACAATGCGGGTTAAACGTAGCATAGTTGCAGTGATATTGCTCTTCGTTTATATTTGTTCATGGTTAACCATGTTTAGGACGAGGTCTTTTTCAGAAGTCCCGTTACGGGTCGCAACTTTCTATCCAGAGGTTGTCGACTGATGGTAACATTCCGCGAGAAGCGTGGGACTTGGATAGGCACATACTCCGTACATCTACCAAAAAAGGAGAGCTATCAACAAAAAGATGAAGTTTATTCTCATTAGCTAAAGGCGCGGATCTCAATTAGGATTTTGATTCGTCCTTCCCCCCGCTCGTTTCCTCTTGACGTTTTTGCGACTCATCTGATGGTGTTAGGTGCATCTGCGCCCCGCGTTCAAAGTTAGCAAATTGATCAAATACCTCCTTATGCCATAATGAAGTGAATTCCATTGACAAAAGTAGTTCGTGATGTACCTGTTTCTAGAATGACAGAGTCGAGTTCTTCCTTGCCATAAATGAATAAAGGCGGGGATGGGATGTGGAAAGGGAACACAATATGGGCTACCACAGGATATAAGAACTGAAGACTTACCGCCTCGGCAAATTGAATCCACTCACTGACGCCTTTCACAAAAGGGTCATCGGCCGCAGGCAACTTTTGGTGATTCCATACCACGAACTCAGAAAATGTACCTTCCTTCTCGAGTATCGTCGTCACTGGTTCATCATCATCATCATCTTCTTCTTCTTCTTCCTCCTCCACATTCCCATCTTCATTGAAATTGCCCCGTGTACGGTCATGGTTATTATCCCGGTTGATTCCTGATTTTGATGTTTGTGATTCGAGAATCCGATCTGTTTGACTCGCAAGCACCCCTGATTATTTCCCCCAAAGATTTTTGGACGAGTTAGACTAATTGTTTCACAACTGTTTCAAAGCGATTGCTTCTCAAGGCTGTCTGTTTTGAGGATGTTTGCCCTTTGCCTTGTAAAACTGGCATTATTTCCCACTGCATTGAGATATAGGAGGAAGAATACCTTGATATCCCTCCGGAATAGCAACTCTTCTGCCTCTGAGTTTTCTGCCGCGAAAGTATGCAGTTGCAGCGACTGGATGTGATAAACGTCAGCGTTTTGCTACAACTTTTAGAAGTGGGCATTGTAAGGAAATACAGTAGTAGACTTAAAAAACACAGAGAGGCACATGCAACAAAACGTATTATTTTGAAAGCCAGTATACCCATCCCATGGATGAGGAATATCCTGAGTTCTGACGACGTAGCCTGCGATTTGCAAACCCTAACCACCACCCACTGGAATAGCGTAAAGCATGGCGAATGGAGTACTGTGTAGGAGGTTTAAAAACAAGCAAAATGAACGAGAAGCAAAGATACAAAGATTTCAACAAAAGAGCGTACTCCAATCTTACCGGGGTTGTTGCTGTCGAATACCGGATCCCAATATCTCGTGGATATCTCGACAGGTCCGTCATGATGGATCCGGCACGGGAGGATGTTTGGAGTAATTGACGGGCACTCTCGATCTAAATCAGAGCTCCTTTTAGGTGGTCGTAATGCAAACATTTTGAGATCTTCCAGCTTCGTCGGTGATTTTTGGGGGCGGGTGGGAAAGAGTAGAAAAAGCCCAAGGGATGCTTTCTGCACCGCCTTGCCGCTCCAAAATTCGATAGTCGTACACGCCAATTCAACAAACAGGATTAAAAAAAGAATATAAGCTTGAACTAAAATGGTTTTCAATATATAGATGTTGGGAGAATAGGTTTCTTCTCTCCTTTGCTGCTTTTAATCAATATTCGTTCTCCGCGACGCGTTGTATGCGTGTAACTAGGTAACTAACATAGCTAACTAGTTAACATAATCTGACAATCAACCTTTTGATCACGACACCTATTTGATCAATCTTTCATTCCAGCCCTCCCAGGTCAGTAAATTATTCCATATGGCAATCACCCTCAGCAGAGAAGCTTCTAATCAAGAAGCTAAACTTTTATTAGCTATTAAAGCCATAAAATGAATCAAATTTCAACTCTTAGAGCTGCTGCTAAGTCATTTCGCGTCCCATACTCTTTGCTATATTATAGACTATACGGAGGCATTACGCGTTCAAATTCTCAACTTAAAAATCGAAAGCTGACCTCTACAGAAGAAGAATCTCTAGTTCAATGAATAATATTCATGGGTGAGAGAGGACAGCCCTGAATCATGATCATACAAGATATGGCCAATCTAATACTTTCAACGTGAGAATCTGCTGCTACAACAACTGTGGGAGGAAGATGAGTGGAAAGATTTATCAAACGGCACTCTGAACTGAAGACTAGATTCTCACGCAAGTATAACTACGAGCGAGCTTTATGCGAGGATTTAAAGCTCTTACGCGAATGGTTTATATTGGTGGATAATACTATAAAGAAGTATGAATTGTGCCGGAGGATACGTACAACTTTGATGAGATTGGCTTTCTTATAGGAGTTATTACAACGAACGGCCTGGGTAATTACTAGAGCTATAAAAAAAAAAAAAAAAAAAAAAAAAAAAAAAAAAAAAGAGGGGAAGCCATCTCTTATACAGCCAGAAAATAGAAAATGAGCTACTGTGATTGAGGCAGTCAATGCTACAGGCTGGAGTCTACCTCCTATGATCATACTGAAGGGTGAGCTTCCTCAATCCTCATGATACGAGCAACTGCCAGCGGATTGGACAAATTGGTCTCAGCGAGAAGGGTTGGACTACAGTTGAGCTTGGCTTAATATGACTGCGAGTTATTCAACAGACATCCTGAGGCTCGTACAGCTGGCAGATATAGACTGCTGATTATGAATGGACATAGCAGTCTTGCTACAACTGGATTTGACAAGTTCTCTCTGGATCATCATATCATAGCTCTTTATATGCCTCCTCATACTTCTCTCATCTACTGCAGCCACCAGATGTGAGCTGTTTTTCACCACTAAAGAGAGTGTATGGCAGGAAGATTGAGCAGAGCATGAGATTGGAGATCAATCATATTGACATGGATGAATTCCTAATCAGCTACGCAGCATATGAAGGATACTACTATAAGAAATGGATTCAAAGCCACGGGCTTGATTCCATTCAATCCAGATGAGGTTCTTACTCAGCTACATACTCAATTCCATACTCCTGCCCCGCCAGGATCAGCTCATGAATACCACGGATTCCAATCCTTCTGGACCCCCAAGACCCCCCGCAATGTGACCCAATTGGAACGGCAGAGCAATAAAATTAAACGTCACACAATTATTTTTTCTAATCCCACAAATCAAACTCTTGATCAGCTAGTTAAAGGATGTCAGCTGGCCATTCATAAGATTGCTCTTTTAACGGAGGAAGTCAAGCAGCTGAGAACTGCCAACAGTAAACAGAAACGAAAGAGAGAGAAGGCACGTACGTATATAGCTGAGGAAGAGATTATGATTGTTCAGGCTCAGGAGCCTAATCAGCCCGCTGAGGGGAGAATTGAGGGTTCAAATCTGAGAACTAAAAAAGCGAGCACCACCACGCTGTAGTAAATGTGGCAGTATGAAACACAAAGCTCCTAGCTGCTCACAGACATAAGGATAAGTTCTATATAATTTCTATATATAATTCCTAGTAGTTGTTGCTTGATTTGAAAATTTGTCAATATGGCGGGGGTTGATCAAATAGGTGTCGTGATCAAAAAGATGTCGGATTACGTTAGCTAACTAACAATTCTGACTGCATTATATGAGATAACTACCATCCTGAAGCTCGCAAGATGCGAATAAAATGCATGGTCTTCAATAAATTGGATATATGTTGCTGGAATCAAAAATATCAAGCTCAAATACGCATCACTGCATACGACTTGGTGGGTATTTAAACATTATCACGGTGCCCAACACAAATAACCTTGGAACTCCGTCCTCTATAAAAACCTTGAAATTACTCCTCTATAACAACACCTATTTCTTTCCCTTCTTTTTCTTCTTCTTCTTCCCCTTTATCTGTTTCCTCCCATTACTTTCCTCTCCATGATTCTCTTTATCTATGGGTGCACGTATCGGTGGCCATTTCTTCGCGTGCTCCCTCTCAAATGCCTCCTTATCCCGTCGGAATAAAAGCATAGTTGCCCGCGCGTCCTCTATACTCGAATGAGCGGCTCCTTGTATATCCAACCCTAACAGCTCAGAAGCTAGTATCTTCAAACGTGGTGAACCTCCGCCAGCAAGTTTACGATACGGAGGATGTTTACTGGTATCCCGTATATCTCGGTTTGGATGACTAAGGAGCAGCGCCTTTAAATCGTTCCGGATCGCATGGCCTATCAAAATGCAACCGTCTAGGATTTTCGCAACGTCCTTTTGTACCTCTTCTAGTTCTCTAGCTTCCGCCATATGCTTCGGTGACACCCCGCTCACATGTGTCCGCCAGTCCGTCACCGTTTCCTTCGGCCGAACGAATGAATCGTAGACTTGTTCGCCGTTATAGTTGACGATACTCACGCGGCCTAATGCTGAGTCGCGATCTGGATTGGGACCTACGCCCACCATTTCGCAGTCGATTGCAACGTATTTTCCTACTGTAGCACTATGGGAGCTGTTAGATTGTAGGGAGACATGGAAAGTAACTGTAGAACTAGGTGTTGCAGAAACTAACGTAGGAGATAATCCTTCATTAATCCTTGCTTCACCAGCAGGTTGCAATTTTTCCTGTACTATGGAAGTTGTAGATCCATTCCGCTGCGAAATAGCCGCTATGGAATGTGTGTCCGTTTCCTCCACTGCAGCAGCTGTCGATATGATTGACCCCATTTTTCGTCTCTTGAACGTTTTTTTGGCCTTTATGCCTTTGCTCTCTGGCACCGAGGATGGCAGAAGCGATGTTCGCTTCCTTTTTACTCCATCCTTGCCGACCGGAGCACTTGTTTTGCGCTCTTGGGTGGTAGAGGGGCTGTCTTTTTTCAGGGTTGCTTGAAGTTTTCGCCAATTGCTTGAGAGATTTTTCAGGTCCATTCCAATGGAAATAATGTTACCTGTGCATTCCAGAACTGATAAGAGAAAAATTAGTAGAGATTTGTTCCTTAATTTAAGGTATCGCACAATGAAATGTTTGCTGGAGCGGGTTCGATGCGGAGAATATAATTATTGAAATCCGCGCTTATGACGTGATGCAAACAAGGCAAACAAAGGCACAAGCCACTACAGAAACAATAATAAAGCTTTTCCATGCGCTCACAGCTGTACGAGTGCTCCGTGCAATGTTTCTTGATTGTTGCCGAAGAATAGAAAAGAAAAATGTATAGGGAATCACATTAATTTGCTAGAATTCATACTATGTTGTGTTCAGTCAAAACACCAATTTACCTATTCATTCAGGGTTTAATTTTGAAATCTTTGTAGGTCCACTTCTCCGTATATTCCCTCTTCGCCTTCTTCGGCTGCGTGATTGGATTCCTGGCTTCAAGTTTGCCTTGAACTATGAGATTCCTGAACCTATCCCCGAGAAGATTGCCTTCAGGTTTCAGCAAACGAAGAGAGTCCTGCAGTTCGTCCGGAAGGACGAGCTCTAGAGGCTTTTCGGGAACCCTACGAAGAACAAATTTCAAATTAGTAAAGTCTATGCGCGGATAGTGGCACAGGGTGGCTTACGGGATTTTCCCAAAGGGTCGCTTCCGAAGAATTCGGTCATCTCCTTCGGCCGACGACTCGTCGTCGGCCTTTTGCAATTGCTTCTTGGCTTCTTCTTTCGCCTTCACTGCCTCAGCTATTGCTTTAATTTGAGCAGCTTGCTCTTCTCGCTTCTTTATCTGTGCCTCCCACTTTGCCTTCCTCTCAACTTCTTTTCTTCTTTTTATCTTATTTCGCTGAGCCCTGGTTTTCCTTTCCCGTGGCTTTTTCTTCAACCATTCAGGAGTTTCATATTCACTCTCAAAACCCTCCCAAGCACTCTCATCATCCGATCGGGCCTCTTCGCTCTCATTTTTTGCAGCTTCGATCCGCGCTAGTCTTTCTTGTTCTGCTTTCTCCTCTTTCAGGCGCTTCTTCTCAGCTTCAACTTCTTTTTGGCCCTCCTCGGTTAGAAGTCGGTCCCAGTCTTCAAATGTCGGGTTATAACTTATTCCAGCATCGGGTTTCTGCACTGACGGCACCGGTTTTCCGTTCGCTGCTAATGAAAGTGGTGGAAGCTTCGTAGTAGGAGGTGCGACAATAGGCTTTGGTTTCTCTAGGAAATTGAACTTAGTTTCTTCTGTAGGCCCAGAAGTGGGTTCTTCGGCCCAGGGATCATGTGTTATCCTATTATCAATGTCCTGCTCTAATGGGTTCGCAGCTTTCGCAACCTGCTTCAACCGCATCCACTCCTGATGAGTAACCCAATCGCTTTTGGTCCGCTTGCTTCTCGGTTCAATTATTCCATCAGTAACTTTAGAGCTCCCGCGCTTGCGGCCACCGACTGCTGGAATTGCGGATCTTCGGGCAAGTATCTCATCACATTTAAGGGCTTTGATACATTTCACTTTTCGTTGAATCTCATCTGAACCTTTCGAATCTATAATAAAAAGGTCGTCGGACGGCAATTCGGCAATGACACCACTGTAGTAAGAAAGAAAACCTCAGTAATACATTCTAAACACCAAATAAAACTACGATAAACATAATCTTACCCTTCGATTTCTTCTTCCCGGACTCGTTGGAGGCACGCATCGACTTCAGTAACATCCACATGTTTTCTCCATGCTTTTTTTCCCTTTCGAGAAGGCTGTTTATACTGATGTGGTGCCCCTATTGCTATCACCATTTTGCCAGCATATAACCCGTATCGCTCACTCGTAACTGGTGGTACTGAGCGGCCGATAATTTTCGAAATAACGTTGCGAATTGTCTGAAAATTTGGGTTTCGGTCGTTTGACTGATTGGCTGGCGGCAAAAGCGCCAAATTAATGCGGCTACCGCGCTTAAATTCTTATGTGTCTTGATATTAACTCCTTAGACAACTTTCACCACCAATTAAATGGCAACCAACCGCAAGTCAAGCCATCCACAACACAATCAAGATGCCTGTTGTCAAAGGTGGAGTCTGGTAAGTGTCTATATTCATTGCCTTGCCTCACCTACTTACGTTATATTTACTTACTAAACCTTTTTTCAGGACGAATATTGAGGATGAGATCGTGAAGGTAGCTGTATCCAAATATGGCCTGAACCAGTGGGCGCGAGTATCTTCTCTTCTTGCCAGGAAGACGCCGAAACAATGCAAAGCACGGTGGGCAGAATGGCTGGATCCCGCTATCCGTAAGATCGAGTGGTCTCGAGAGGAAGATGAAAAGCTGCTACATCTGGCCAAGTTGATGCCCACGCAATGGCGAACGATCGCACCTATTGTTGGAAGGACAGCAACCCAATGCTTAGAGCGTTATCAAAAGTTATTAGACGATGCAGAGGCTCGTGAATCCGATGAGCTGGGCCTGGGCGGACCTGCTGGGGGTGAAACAGCGGCCCCAAGTGCCGATGACGTTAGAAGACTACGGTACGTCATCGCCTGGTTTACATCTATCCTACCACCACTAACACATCTTGTATAGACCAGGTGAACTGGACCCCGACCCCGAATCCAAACCGGCTCGCCCCGATACCATCGACCTTGATGAGGACGAAAAGGAGATGCTCAGTGAGGCGCGTGCCCGTCTGGCGAACACACAAGGAAAGAAGGCAAAGAGGAAAGCCCGGGAACGTCAACTGGAAGAGTCGCGCCGCCTTGCGGTTCTACAAAAGCGCCGTGAGTTGAAAAATGCAGGTATTAACATTAAGGTCGTCACCCGCAAAAAAGGCCAAATGGATTACAACGCGGATATCCCCTTCGAGAAAAAAGCTGCGCCAGGTTTCTACAATACTTTGGAAGAGGAAGCCAGAAATGAACGGCAACGAGAGTTGTTTGATCCTAGGAAACAACAAGTTGCTAGTAAACGGAAAGGCGATCAAGACGAAGACGCCGAAAGGAAGAGAAGGAAGAATGACAAAAGCGGCAATTCTGCCTTCGCAGCAGCGGCAAAAGCTGGTCGGATGCAGAAACTCCGAGAAGCAGAACAGAGTAGTAAGCGGCGCGCCCTAGTGCTCCCTGCTCCTCAGGTCAGTGAAACTGAACTTGAGGAGATCGTGAAGATGGGTATGGCTGGAGAGCGAGCTAGTAAAATGGCCGGAGAAGAGGAAAATGATGGCACGCGAGGGTTAGTCGGCAACTATTCCACAATTGTTGGTGGAACTCCCATTCGGACCCCCAAGGCACCGGTCGAAGAAGATCGTATCGCCAACGAAATCCGCAACATCAAGGCCTTGACAGAAACACAATCGTCTTTGCTGGGTGGAGAAAATACGCCGTTGCATGAAGGTGGTGGATCTACTGGGTTTGAAGGAATTGCTCCTCGAAAACATACACTTGTTACGCCGAATCCCATGGCGACTCCATTCCGACAAGCTGGTACTAACGGGATAGGCGCCACCCCTATGCGCACGCCAATGATACCAGGAGCTACTCCACTACGTACACCTAGAGACAATTTTGCTATCAATGCAGATGCAATGGGATCTCTTGTCGGTAGCACACCCAAAGAAATGAGGGTTCGTGAAGACTTTTTGCGGAGACAACTACGCAGTCAACTTGAAAGCCTTCCAGCGCCGAAGGAGATGGAGTGGGAACTGGAGGAAATGCCAACAGAACAAGCGGAACCGACTAGCACGGTGGAACTTTCTGAAGAAGACGCAGCAGAACGGGATAGGAGAAATAAAGCTACAACTGAAAAGGCAGCTGAAGCAGAATTTAAACGACAAACTCAGGTGTATCAACGAGGGCTGCCGCGACCTAGGGTGATCGACTTGGACGTTTTGATTGAAAAATTCAAAGACGCTACAGATCCCATTCTAGACATGATCACTCAAGAGATGGCCACTCTTATCGCCCATGATGCACGTAAATTTCCCTTACCAGGTGCCAAAATCCAAGGGAAAGCTCCAAAACTGGCCCCCATTTCTGATACACAGCTCGCCAAAGCGCGTGCAGCAATTACCGATGAAATAGCTTCCTTTGACCTCAAGCAGGATTGGCAAGACAGTTTCGCGACATCATGGACATCTTTCCGTGAACCCTCTAGCCTCCCAGGGCTTTCTCTTTACGCAAATAACGATGACCATGAGATGCAAGAACAGCAGATGATGGCTGCTTTCGAAAACGTGCAGGCCTCACTTCTTGCCACTGCAGAGGAGGGAAACAAACTAGAAAAGAAGATTGCGCTTCACAACGGCGGATACCAAGCTCGGGCAAAAACGCTTAGGACGAAGATTGTTGAAGCTAGTGAGGCTCTTGAAAAGGCCAGATTCGAGTTGGACGCCTTCAGAACGCTTCAGCTTGCAGAGGAATCTGGCATTGGCCGGAGACTCGAGGGTCTCCGCGATGAAGTTACGTTCATCACTCGTCGGGAGCGAGAGGCGCAGGAACTGTACATGTCGCGAAAGGAAGAACTGGAGTCTCTGCAGAGCAACGCAGTGAATGGGTGGCATTAGTGGGAGGCATGGTTATTGTGATGGGTTCATTGTCAAGGGGTTCGATCAGTATGCCAGTTTTATTTCATTTCTATTTCCATTTCTGGGGGTAGGGGAAGTCTTGTATTGATATCATGTCCTAACACAGCGTTGATAGTTGATAGTTGGTTGTCCTATTCCTTTGGTTGTTTTAACTTCTCTTTTCCATGGACTTAAAATTACGCATTATTATCATTTTGAGGAAATTCAGAATCTCCAGCAGCCTTGAATTCAGCTAGTTTAACACGTCTGTCAAGAGGCTTATATTCAGTATATATATATGCATGTATATGTATATATATTCTAACATTAGTGGAAGCAAAAGCCATCGTTTTAAGGTTGCCTGGCGCTGGAGTCAGGTGAGTTTCGGGAAGTAGTTAACTCTCTCGGTGGGTGGCGTTAAGCAGCGTCATCACTTCATTCGCCCATTCTAAGCCCAGGAC